CAGGGAGGGTTGCATTGAATTAGCCGGGTGGGCTTGGTCTCACGCCCTCTGAAGTTCAAAGGTTAGGGCCTCCTCTCCGCCCCTCACCTGGGCCCCCTGGCACTGAATGACTCCCTGGCCGTAGCCAATGGGAAACCCAAGTGTTTAGCTTGGCAAACCGCGGGCAGCTTCGCTCACGTGGCAGCAGAGGCAGGCCGGGAGTGCGCTCGGGGCAGCGAGCCACGCCTCAAGATGCCTTGGTCCCATAGCAGCTCTGCTGTGACCTTGAGCGGGTGACCTCTGGGCCGCTGTCCGTCCCGCCCCTGGCTAAGCGGCAGTGGCGTTTGCTCACCTTGGTGCAATTCAGCGTCCGTTCAGCGCCTTGCAGAGAAAGTGCTGTGCGTACGCTCTGGATGCGCCGGGAGGGGCCGTGGGCTTTATGCGGGTAGGGATGGTGAAATGAACGTGGATCAGAGCAGATCTTCCCGGATTTAGCCCCTTGCACGCTGGTTCTAAAAACTGTCCAGGCCCAGCACCGCCGGGGAGCACCCCTGCAAGGAGACCAGCCCACCCTGCTCTCTGTTAGCGGCTACCCCAGCCTGTGTCCCCTTCGAGCCACAGCCCGCCGGCAAACCCAGCTGTAGCTGATTTCCCCCACCGCTTGCCTGTCCCCTGGCTTCCCCCTCCATGCAGACAGCAGGCCCAGCGTGGGAGGCAGGGAAGGGGCGGGAGGTTACGCCTGACCTGAGGAGCTTTTGACGCTTATGCGGAGCGATGGGCCGGCTCCAACCCCGCGCGGGTCTCCGGCCTCTTGCGTGACACAAGCTGTTTTCCAGGGCGGGGGGCTGGGCTGCAAAGCCCGGGGCCTGAAGTGTGCTCTCCCATCCCCCACTCTTGCCTCCTGCCCTGAGCGTCTGGCTCGCTCCAGTTCGAGGCAGGACAAGCGAAGCAGCTGACGCGTTGCGCTCGGGCGCCAGCTGGGGTCTGCCGGGAGGCGCGAGTGGGCATGGATTGGCAGTGGGCATTTCTCTTTGTGTGCTGGGGAGGGGCGGCAGGGCTCAGGCTCCCTAACAAAGGGCTTGCCGCTGGCCCTGGAGAGGCAGGGTCCAGGGCAGGATCTGAACTCAAAGGGACGCTGACCAGTTTCTTAGGGCTGGTCTGCACTGAAAACTTACATCGGCGTAGCTACGTCTCCCCCGGAGACAGGCGTAGGCAGCGCTGGGGCGATGGAAGAATTCTGCTGGCCCCGCTACTGCCTCTCGGGGAGGGAGGTTAACCACAGCGACAGGAGAACCCCTCCCGTGTCTCCATTGTCACGGCGTAAGAGTAGGCATCCCCATTGATTCGCACCACGTGTTGCAGTCTTGGTGGGCGCAGAGCAGCCGAACGCCTTTCCCGTCGAGTTGCCGGGGTTTTCAAAGCCCGTCCCAGCCGTCAGGGAGCAAAGCTTTTCAAAACACAGGGGAAGTAGTGGTATCCCTGTTTCACAGATGGGGAAACTGAGGCACGGGAGGGCCGTGACTTGCCCTGGGTCACGCCGGGAGTTGGTGGTAGAGCCAGGAATTCTTACAGCCCCTCGCCCATCTAGCTGCTGCCCTGAGTCCCTCTTGTTTGGGCAGAATCTGAGCTGAGTAGAAGTATTTTAATGAGGAGGGCGAAGGAGCTGGGCCTTGAGAAGCGCAACGTGAAAGCGGTCAGTGGCAGGGATGCGAGCCTAGGAATACAGACGAGCAAACGAGACTCTCAAGGCATTCATTATTAATCCTCTGTGGTGGTGTTACTAATACAAAACTCCAGGCAGCAATAACAAGCCACATAATGCATCACAGGCGGGGCAGGGACCTTCTCTTTCTGTGGGGTGGGAGGGGTACCTACTGCAGTGGGGCCTGGCTAGGGTGACCGTATTTCCCAAAGTGAAAACAGGACACTGTGCAAGGCTGGCCCAAGTCCGCCCCCTCCCCCCCGCCCGTGTGGGACCAGTCCGAGCTGCCTGGTGTCGCCACTCGCCCCCCACAAAAGTTCCTCCGTGCCCCCGTAGCAGGGTGTGCTCCACTTTTTTTGGCAAGACTGGGCATTGGGTCTTCAGTGAGTCACCTTGCCAAAAAAGTCGGGACGCCTGGGATGGGGCTTAAAAAGGGGGACTGTCCCAGCCAAAACGGAACGTAGGGTCACCCTAGCTCCTGGCCCCTGATCGGTGCCACCAGATTCTATTGTAACGCTCATACACATATCTGTTAAATTCGGGTCAATGATGGCAAAAGATCTATTAGACCTCCTAGGCCCAGCTGCTGCAACGTGTGCTTAGCGTGTGAAGTCAAAGGGAGCCTGGTTAAGCTGCCAGGAGCGGTTTTCAGGGTTGGGACTACAGGAGTAAGCAAAGACTTTGATTTCATCTTACCTTGAAAGGGTCCCCTGAACATCCCACGCTCCTCTGCCAAGCTTGGGCTGTGACTCACACTGGCGCTGGGGAAAAGCTCTTGAAATTGGAGCTGCGTCTGATTCCTTTACTCGCCTCGCTCCTTCGCCCTGGGCTTACGCAGTCAGGAGAAGCTATTTGTAACCAGTGACGGGGGCCGCGTTTTCCTGTTGAAAACGGCTGCGTAAGATTGTGCCAACTGGTGATTGTGCAGTCAGGGGAAAGCCTCTCATACGCGGGATTCACAGAGCAGGGTGATGTGGTTTAAAATGTTTCATAGTCGTAAGCGTGGGGGGGGGTGTCTTGTCGCTTACCAGGGGCGAAGCTGTGAGTGGGGGAGGCTGGTCCCCCCAATCTATGCTGACTTTAAAACCTTGACATCCCATCATTCGACCAGTGACCGATGGGTGAAGTATCTTCTTTCTGACCTGTGGAACTCCTTGCCACAAGGGATCACTGGGGTCAAGAGTTTTGCAGGATTAAAAAAAAGATCACCGAGAGTTCATCCAAAGATACAAGAGTTTTGGCAGGGAGATAAACCCAACTCAGGGCATGAATTGGACTCTAGCCATAGGGGTTAGGAGCCAGCTTTGCTGGGGGCAGATTACCCCGTCACTGCTGAGTTTCTTGCTCCTCCCACTGAAGCAGCTGGTGCTAGCCACTGTTTGAGACCGGAGACTGGTCTAGAAGGGCCCCTGATCTGGTCCAATCTGGCAATTCCTCTGCAGTCCACCTGTGTCATACGTTGTGGAAAAAAAATGTTTAAGGAAGTTTAACTTGGCCCTAGTTCCTGGCTCTGCAACTGTAGATGCAGGTGCTTCAGTAACTGTCCAACTGCACAGTGGTAACCCGCTGATACGTGGCATGGAGGGGTCAGGCAGGATCGGACCTGAAACAGCCACGGGTCCAGGACGTGATATTCCCCTCCTGGGCCTTGGGACCAGTCTGCTGGGGGCGAGGGGCTGGGTGGGTTAAACCGGAAGAAAGGCCAGAGATGCAAGTGGCAGATTGTGGTGGAATTTCGCTCACTACTGATCCGGTGACGATCCTGTCATGCTTGTGATTGCAAGAACCTGGAATGGAGCCCGGGCAGATCAAGCCCTGGGTTTCTCTCGGCACCTCATTGCAAGTGGCTCTCGGCTTTGTCAGCCCAATTGCCCCTTGCACGTGCCCCCAGGAGCACATGGCCCTTGTGTCTCTGGTACTGACGCTCCTGGCTCAGTGGGGTGTCGGCTCTCTTCGAAAGACCTTCAGTCCGGACAAGCTCGGGAGTCCAGGCATGCGGCATAGTCTGCACCTGACCAGCAGGGGGCGCCGTAGTAAGAGAGGCAGCAGTCACTGAGGGTGGAGAGAGATTGATGAACTGGGGGCTAGATTGGAAGCCCTGTGCCGAGCATCTAATTAGTCTCTGGGGAGGCCGGAGCCGGCAGCATCTTAATCTGAGGTTTTAATTTTGCCTTCGTCCTCTCTGGGTCTGTTTTTATTCTTGCTCAGGTCAGTTGCTTTGTGTCAGGATTAGGCAGATGGGGGCGGATTAGAACCAGAAGACAATCCCTAGGGGCTGGGTGGGCTTGGAGCCCTCGGCTGAGTCTGTCTGCTGGGCACATCTCGTTCCCGGGCCTGGCATAGTCCTCACCGGAGCGGGCTGCCCGTGGACGGGGGAGGCACGGACCGTTTGTGTTTCCGGGGCCAGTGAGCATTGGACCTGTCCCAGCACAGCACCCCCTAGCTTCTCTCTATCGCACAAGCCCTGCTCCAGTGGCAGAGCCCAGAGCCGGGGAGGTGGGTCTGTTGCAGGAGAACTGAACTGCCTGTGACCCGCAGCCCCCCTGCTGTTCTGGTTCAATGCCTCCCGGCGTCCCCAGTTCTACTGCAGGGCGGTTCGGGGACACCAGGAGCAGAGCGAGGCGCGTGCGGTCCCGGTCCCCGGTAACGCAAGACGTGAGACGCTGATTGCAGCTGTCCGGGATCCGTGCTCTGATTCTGCTGGGGAAAAGGCTCACGTGGCAGAAATATCCCCAAACCCAGGGAAACGTGTTGTGTGTCACAGTCCATAATTAGCGTGCTGCCACCTAGCTGGGACACGGGAGATTGTTTTGGAGGGGTAGGAGTTGAAATGAATGATGAACTTTCCCTTTCTCTTTGCATCCTTCTCGAGCTCTGAGCCCTTCCCCAGGTCAGTCCAGGGACTCGGAGCTCACACAGTGCTCCATCAGATCATGTCACTGGCCTGCCAAGCCAGCTGCCCCTGGCTAGAGCAAATGCCCAGTACTTGGAGCCCCCAACTCACAATGCACCTGGGTTGTTTGTCCAACACTGTTATTGGATGGCTGTGTGGAACACTGCCCTCCACTGGGTGGAATTGAAACTGCTCAGCTGTGTGTCATAGGCCCTATAGGGTGAATGGCTGGTGGAGATTCTCCTTGAGCTGAAGTGTTAAGAGCCTGTGCTGTTGGAGCAGGAGGACTGGGGGAGCCCAAAGGTGTCAGAGGCGGGGGGGCACAGGGACTGTCTGGGGGAGTCCAAAGGGGTTAGGGGTGGGGGTGTGGGGACATCCCCCCCTGGGCTCCTTGCTGTGTCTCACGCTCTTCCCCCCTCCCCCCAGGTGAGAGGCCGTTCCCGTGCACCTGGCCCGACTGCTCCAAGAAGTTTGCGCGCTCGGACGAGCTGGCCCGGCACTACCGCACCCACACCGGGGAGAAGAAGTTCGCCTGCCCGCTCTGTGAGAAACGCTTCATGCGCAGCGACCACCTCACCAAGCATGCCCGCCGCCATCCCGCCTTCCACCCCTCCATGGTCAAGCGGCTGGGCTGCCCCAGCGACTCCGCGCCCGGCAGCCTGGCGGGGAGCCCCGTCGCCAGCCCTGCCCCCAGCCCGGCCAAGTTCCTGTAGGGGCTGGCGCTGCTCCGAGCGGGGACCATGTGGCACGGACCCCAAAAGGTGCCGCCTGGCCCAGGCCGGCCCGGGAAGCCACCGAGAGTGCCCGGTGTCAAGGCTGCCCTTGGATCTGTGGGGCGAGCGAACCGTCTGCTCCTCCCTGACGGGGTCCTGCTCACGGGGACCTTCCGCTCCATGTTCTGGGTGTCTTCGAGCAGCAGCCTCTCCCTACCTGGCTTCGTGGTGACGTCCAGCATCCCCCACCCCTGGCCTGCGTGGCACAGCGGTCGGGCGTCCAGTCCCGCGGGCCGTGCTGCTCCCCCTGGGCGGCTGTGGAAGGAGCTGGGCGGGGGGAAGGCTACGACCTTGCCCTGGCTGCCGGCAGCCCCTCTCCTGGGCAGGCTCCCGCATGGCGGTGAGAGGTGGCACCTCTCCGGGAACCCCCAGCTACCACGATGCCAGACTCTACCGGCTCGACTCGTGCGGGGCTTTTTCGCCCTGGAGATGCTGAGGGACAAATCAAGGCCCTTGCCTCCTCTCTGGTTTACCCTCCTGGTGCTGGTGCAACGACACTTCCCCAGCAGGGGGCACCCTAGGGATGGTTCCAACTTGCACCCTGGGGACCCCTTGACGAAGGCAGCTTAAACCAGGCCAGTTCTGCCTCCCGTCCCCAGAGGCCATGACTGCGTTGCTCTTGGGACAGAAGGCTGCTCAGGGAGGAGATGGCCGGTGGCTGAAGTCCCCTGCGTCTCCCACTTCCCCTCCCCTCTCCTTCTGGAAACCAGGACCTGCTCCCCTGAAATTCTCCCCTCTCCCTCCAGGGGAAGCCCAGCATAGATATAGATCTATCCCTCCCCCAGAGGGGAATTCTGAATATTTATTTATACAGACTAACGCGCCTCCGGCTGCAACCTTCGGAGGTCTTTGCAAGTCGTGGGTATCTGGCCAGTGGACACAGACTGACTGGCACTGGGCTGCCGTGGGCGGGGGGGATGTACCTTTCGAGTGACTCTCCGTCCAGCCCCTGCCATGGGATGGGGCTGGGCTTTTTAGGCAGGAATCTATTTATGGACAAAATCGGTTTTTATAGCTGTGGAATCGGGGTGGAGGGGTATAAAGGGCGGGGGGGTGACATGCGCCCCAGCCAGCCTCTTTGAAGCGGGTGCGGAGTGAGTATTTGTCTACGCGGCGTACTGCTCCTGGAACCCGGCCGTGTGCAGCTGTTTTAGGGGAAGCCTGGGCCTGCATTTCGGTTCTTCATGATTTGGGGGGGCGCTGCGGATTTTCCTGAAAACTTGTAATTTAATTTTTTTTCCAGAGAGTTCTCAGCACTTTAAAGACACAGGGGGCCCCTTTGAGGTGGGTCAGGTGGGGCACCCAAAAAATCACTAGTCACTGCTGGAAATATAGGGCCAAGTGCCTTCAGTCCATCGAAAGCAGGCCTGTCCCAGAACTGAACTAGGATCAGAGTGGACTAGTTTATTGGTACAACGGGGCAGGGGGTTCCATAGCAGCCTTTCTCAGCCAAGTGGGCTGCTCCATTTGATTCTGCTGCAAGTCGCTGCACTGAAGTCACTAAGGGTGTGTCTACACTTACCCTGCTGCAGCTGCGCTGCTGGAGCACTTGGGTGTCGACTCCACCTAGGCCGGGGTTCTCCCGTCGGCGTAGGCAATCCACCTTCCCGAGAGGCGGTAGCTAGGTCGACGGACAAATTCTTCCATTGCCCTCGCGCTGTCTGCACCAGGGGTTTGGTCGGCTTAACTATGCCGCTCAGGGGAGTGGATTTTTCACGCCCATCAGAGATGTAGCTGTTCTGGTGTAAGGTCCCAGTGTAGACCCAGCCCTGAGGTAGGTCAGGGCTGCGGTGCAGTAATGCCCCTGGTTCAGTCAGCTGCGGGGATTGAACCTGGGACCTCTGGCTCTAAAAGCAGTGAGTTTGTCGCCTGAGCTAAGAGCCCAGCTCCGTTAGTTCCGTCGCAGTAACGGACTCTGGGGTCTGACCACTAGAGGGGGACAAGGCGCTACCCCGCATTGGCATGGGTGATGCTGATTTTATAGACGCGGGTGTTCTGCCTGCGCTGTGGATAGGCCTGGCCGCTTGTGTGCAGTGCCGTGCCACTGGCCAGAAGGCTGAACATCAGCTTTCCCCACGACGTGTGAGCCCAGGCCGATTGGCCTTGGTGGAACGAGTTTGATGGGTCACGGGCAGTTCCTGGGGTCCCGCTGCCTGCGTAACAAAGCCATTGGCCTGGCTGGCACGGCTCTCTCGTCCTGCGTTGGCCCTACCAATGCCCACGCCACACCTGGTATGGGGATAGGCTGCTCCACGCCCATGCCTCTCTCAGTCCAGGCGCGCTTTCGATCAAGAAGCAACCCCCCTCCCCCAGTGCTTTCCCTGGGCTCTCCGGAGAGAACCTTGCCGCCTGGAACGCTTCAGAGACGTGTTTGGGATGGGTCTGCTGGGAGTTCCTCAAGCGTGGCATGGCTGGGAGTTGGCCTCCTTTGCCCCCTCTCCGTATTCCGCGTGGCCCCCGGGTCCCAGCGCTGCGGGATCAGTCGCCGTCGGACTGTCTCCAATGGCCCAGGCCGTGGGACTGTCTCGAAGGAGCCGGCAGCTTGCTGGGATTGGGGCCCAATCTGGCAGCGGCCAGGATTCCGGCGTCGGAGCTTGAGGACTGTGTGAAGCTCCTCTGGCTGGACCTTGTCTCCAGCCTCCTGGACTGGGGCACAAGAGAGCTCAGAGCGGCCGGGAAGAGACGCCAGCCGGACCCCGGCTCCGGGAGCAGCGGCTGCCTCTCGGGGCGGCTCGCCAAAGGCCACCTTGGGTAGAATACACTGAAACGTACTGCATTAGCCAGCGGGTCCCTTCTCATGTCAGTGTCGTGCCAGGGGGCTCGGCGTCCTTTCCTGCCTGTGCCCATCACAAACTGACTGGCCTTTGGGAGCTGCCTGTCTCTCTCCTGCTTTCACGGCTGAAGCTCGAGGGAGATCTGTTTCCAGCAGGAACTGTTGAAGGAGCCCAACATTTTCCACCAGCTGGTTCATGCAAAGGTGTCGCTGGGTGACTATTCTCTGGGGCGGTCCCAGGGCCCTTGTGATGGGGATAGGGCGGGGGGGGGGGGGGGGGGCTTACGAAATGGCTAAGTGGGTGGAGGAGGAGAGGAAAGGGTGGGGTAGTTAATGGACCAGTGAGGAGAGGGCAAAAGCAGGTGATCTAGAAACAACCTTTCAGGAAGGGCTCCATGGCTGGGGCGTGAAGCGGTTAGTGGCCTGAGCTGGTGCGGGTGGCTGGCGCGTCCCCTCCCAAGATAAGCCTGGCGCTGGAGCAGTTTGGACCCAGCCCGCCTTAGCTGTGCTGCCGCAGTGCATTCTGGGATCCCCGATGCTCCTGTCCTGTAGTACTTGGCATCATTGCTGGAGGGGGGCGGGTTCAGGGGTAACTTCCTGTGAGTGTGACGGGGGGGGGGGGGGGGACCGGGGGTCGGGGGGGGTTTTGGTTGGGGTAGACGGCACCTGCGAAGACAGATGTTGGTGACCCCAGGAAGCATTGCTGAAGCCTGTGGGCTGCGCTGGGTCCCTGCTGGCCCATATGTAGCCAGGGACCAGCGTGACCTCAGTTTCCCCACCACGGTGAGGGGTGGCCAGAGCCCTGAGCAGGGCCACTTGGCCCCCACCGAAGCTAGATCAGGAAGGGCCCTGCTCTAACCTGGACAGCTGGTGTGTGGCCCCTTCCAAGGATGGGCTCTGGCAGAGCGCCGTGTTCTGGGGGCGGGGGAGGAGAGTCCAGCTGGGTGGGGGTGGGGGAAGGGGCCTCCGCCAGCCGAAATTCACTTTGCGCGTGTGGGGAGATTCTCTGTGGGGACTCGGCAGCTGGTTAAAGGCTGTTCGTGCAGCATGGAGCCACCAGCCCTCCCCTCCTCCCCTCCAGCTCCGAAGGGGGTCCTTCCCCCCAGCCTCCATGCACTTATTTCCTCCTTATTTATTACTGATTTCTCCCTTTCCCCCAAGGAGTTGAACTGGAATGGGTCCTTCTCCTCCCCCGCCCCGCTGAACGGCTCCCGCTTTGGAGACAAATGCGTTTCGGACTGGCTGCAGTGCACTTGCCCCTCTGATACTGTAGGTTCTCTGTATTCGGCCTCCCGCCCCTGGCATTTCCTTGGGGGGGAGGGGCTGGTGGGTTTTCAATGTCTTTATTAATCCAGTCCCTTTATCCCTGAAGCTTCCTCAAGGCACCAGTGTCAGGGAGGGGAGAGGGGCGGGGAATGGAGCAAACTCCATTGTCACGGGGGCACAATCTCCTTGCAGCTGCTGTTCCTGGGAGCATCCCTCGCTAGGGGCCCACCCCTGCGGTCCTTACTCAGGCAAAGCTCCCATTCAGGTCTGGGCCCTAGATCTTCCCCTCCTGCAACTTTCCTTCCCCCCCCTGTTTCTCTGCCTATGCAGTTGGATTCTGATCTTGATTACATGGGGAGTAAATCTAGAACTCCACTGGTTCCAGTGGAGTCACTCTGGATTTACAGGGGTGTCGGGGATCCTTATCCTGGGGGTTCTGCTCTTTCTTGTACTGCTAAATGGGAAGGGGGGATGGGTCCCAGTTAAACTGGAGGGTAGTTCCCGTATGGAAAAGACCAAATCCCTTCCCCTAGCCCAGTGGTTCTCAAACTTTTGTACTGGTGCCCCCTTTCCAATAGCAAGCCTCTGAGTGCGACCCCCCGCCCCCTTATAAATTAAAAACACTTTTTAATATATTTAACACCATTATCAATGCTGGAGGCAAAGCGGGGTTTGGGGTGGAGGCTGACAGCTCGCGACCCCCCATGTAATAACCTCACGACCCCCTCAGGGGTCCCGACCCCCAGTTTGAGAACCCCATACCTAGTGTAGCCAAGATCCGTCTCCACCAAGAGCAATCGAAAGATGCAGGTTTAAATCTGGGCTCCCCAGATTCCATGCAAAGTGGGTATTTTTCTGGCTTGTGATTTTTAATAAGCGTGGCGAGATGGTTTCTTTTCTTACAAGAGGGGATAACGTTGTTCTGTGTGCGTGTGATATTTATGCAGAGTCTCTTCTCTATCAGAGCTGGAGTTGTATAAATAGATCTCTATACCGTAAAATAAAACGCTGCTGCTGCTTTTTTGGGGGGGGAAAAATCTTACTTTTTTAGTGCGACTTTTATAGAGCAGTTCGGAACCACGACTGACTGGGTGATGAGGAGCCGGCCGGCGCCCGTGATTGGGAGCCCGAGCTTCGTGCTATCAGGGGGAGGGTGTGGGGGTGTTTGGAAAGCAATTCTTTGTGCTTTGTATATTTCGGCTGGAGGTAAAGCTGTTGATCGGTTCTTTTGTCTCCTTCCTGTCTTTTTAAAAATCTGTGTAGCCTCTGTTAAGTCAGATCCTCCTATCCTGACACCCCCCACCCCCAATCACAGGGGGAGAGGTCCGAAATCGGATCTGCTTGTCCCAGAGGCCCTTGCTAAGTAGATGTAACAAGAGGTGGCACCTTTTTATATGTGAAATTGACCCCTTAGGCAGATGATCAACCATGTGGCTTAGGCTTAAACAGGACATAATTGGTGCCTAGGCCTTCGGAGTATTCAGTGGCTCATAGACGCAGGATTACACATGGGAATTTCAAAGCTAGATCTTCCCCCGGCCCGGTCCACACTTAATTTGGAGCTTCCTCTGTTTGCACCCCATCTGCCAGCCTGTACAGCTCTGCTTATTGCAGCGCATGACTGGGAGTTGAGGTCTATTCCCAGCTCCGCCCCTGGCTTGCTGTGAGATCTCAGGCAAGCAGTGTGTCTCCATGCCTCAGTTTCCCCTCAGTACACTGGCAGCAGGGTGACGTTTAACCTCATGCTGGGGCTATGAGGTTTCTGTAATGTTTCCTGACCTCCTCTGGTGGCAGAGAAGCACCAGATGTGTCCTTGGGCCTGACCTTTCAAATGCTTCTACTTACTGCATGCAGATGTGGTCGCCCCGTCTCAAAAAAGATGTATTGGAATTGGAAAAGGTTCAGAAAAGGGCAACAAAAATGATTAGGGATA